TATAGCAGACCTTTTTGGCGCATCGGATCTCAGAGTAGGATACGATCGGATTCCGATCCTACGGATCCGAATCTCGACCCGGAATCCGGCGGAATCTGTTGTTTCTTGTCGGTTTTCATGTAAGATCCGATGCAACCCATTTTCAGATCCGACTGTAGAAATGAACAACCTGGGCAATTCAGAACCTGTAACAACTGTTCGAAAATGATCAGTTGAATGATCAAGAATATGAACAGGTGGTGATTGATGCTGGTCGTCGTTTTATGCTGCAAAGGGAGGTGGAAAAATCAAAGCGTGGTGAGTGGATATAATCGTGTTGCATGATTATCACAGATATTTTTCTTTTTCATATTTAGAACGTGATGGTTGTGCAGCTCAATGAAATATAGTTTGAACATCTTTAGCACCTCATAAACGTCAGTTATATCTTGCTCTAATATGTTTCTCCTTGGCTATTATACGTGATCGCAATTATATTCCTTTTTTCATCTGACTCTTTATTTTATTCTTTGCTCTCCAACTATTTCACTTCTATCATTATTGTTATAGTTCTATGAGGACATCGTTTATATTTTTTGTCATGTTGATTGCTATGAAATAGATTGGTTTTATTTTACTTTGTTGTCATTCATTGGCACTCATCTTCTTTCAGATTGTTTCTTGATTTTCGTTTGAAAATTACGACGTATCCTAGTCTCAATTATTCTCGCAATTTTCGTACACATCGTTGAATAATTTGATGGAATAATGTAATCGTTTTAGTGTTGATGGTCTTAAACATGATATCGTCTTCGATATAAAAGACGAAAAGAAACAATTCTATACGCTTTCTAATAATTCGTGTTGAAATTGATGTGAACTGTGCAAATTAACATGAAATAAATACAAAAAACGATATGTCGGAAGCTTTCGAAAAACAAAATTCAGCATGATGTTTTCCTAGTTTGTTTAGTGTTATTGAAAATACAATTGAAGTTTCTAAAAGAAATACGCAGAAGTTTCAATATTTTACTTCTATAATTTTGAGACCTGCATACAACTGCTAATAGTATCCCATATGGTTTTACATTAGATTGTGGTAAATATAATATACACTATATTAATAAGAAAGTTTTTTTCTCAAACACATCAATTATATCTACAACAGAAATATTAACATCGAATTTCAATCGATCACAAAATAATATTGTTTCATAAGAAAAAATTTCACGCGAATGATTGAGAATGAAAATATTGAAGGATTAATACCCCATGTTGCGAATACCGGATCAATTTTTGCGGTAAACCGCGGTATTTATCCGTTCTGCGGTAATGGGAGCCGGCAACCGGACCGGTAAAACCGCGGTAAACCGGTGGTTTTTTGCGCATGTTTATCACATGTAACAGTAAAAAAAAAGATCTTTAAAATAGTTTAATTGATGATTTGGAAGACNGGGGTTTTTTGCGCATGTTTATCACATGTAACAGTAAAAAAAAGATCTTTAAAATAGTTTAATTGATGATTTGGAAGACTTTTTCTGTCAAAAATTATAGATGAACCGGCTAACCGCTTTTTTTAGCGGTAACCGCGGTAAATGCCAGTTCATTTTTTGTGGTAAACCGCGGTATTTATCCGTTCTGCGGTAATGAGAGCCGGTAACCGGACCGGTAAAACCGCGGTTAACCGCCGATTTTCATGCGGCTTTTATTACATGGGACGTTATTCATTTGAAGCTATTTTATATAAAACTAAACCATAATAAGAATATTGGGTTTCTATTTCTTTTATACAGCTAATTCAATGAACTGCAAGGGATTATCAATATGATGCTGATTATGCTCATGAATGAATGTACTTATAAGATCGGAAAGTACAAGTGTCGAAAAGTTTGACGATGCCAAAGGTAAAATCGCTCGTCGAGGTAAATATCGCAAGCGTAAAATGTGCAATAAAAATGACGAATAGGAAAACTACGGGTGTGGGCATGAAACATGATGCAAGACTTCTTTTTATGGACACTCACACGGAAATATCATCGCTTCAGCATGTTTTTCAAAAATCACAAAGGTTTGTTGATTTATTCGCTTAAAATTTACCTTTTCACTGTTTGTTAGGTTCAAGTAGCAGCATTGAACTTTTTTCTATGTAACAATCAAAATAAAGATAATGAACAAGACTCCGATTCAGATGATGTCAGTAAAAGCGGAAGAAGAATTTCTTAATTGATTCATTGAAAACAAATCATTGGCACTAGGACAGATTGTCGCGAGACAAATCGTTGCTGACAAATCGTTGCGGACAAATCTTTGCGGACAAATCGTAGCAGGACAAATCGCCGTGGACAAAACGTCGCGGGCAAAATGTCGCGGACAAATCGTTGCATGGGCAAATCATTGTAATATATCTATTGATCAAAAATGAAGTGCTACTCAATATGATGTATTCAAAGAATTAGAAAAAATTCCTGGTTAATCTTTGGAAATGCGATTGATGTTTAAATCTCTAGATTGATAGCGATTTTAGTTTTATTTTATAATTCATTTATTATATTATTTTCATTGATTTGCATTACAAAATTTGAATTCATCCTCTGAATAAACATTTGTAACAATATGTAATATTGCAACATTTTATCCGTGCAACGTTTTGTCCATGCAACGATTTGTCCAAGCGACAACTTTTTTGCAACGAATTGTCCGCGACGTTTTGACCGGTCACCAAATCATTTTAGGATGAAAAATTAACAAAAAAAGACATCTTACTTGATCATCGTGTTGGAAAAACAACTTTAAGGGGTGGGTGTGGGTGTCGTTGTAGATAGGCTGTGGTTGACAACTACACCCTCAAGAATTATAATAATTGATGAAAACGTTAATGGTGATGTTCCAGAATGATATTCAGATTGAATTTCTATGAATTATTAATGATTTCGATGGGTGCAACATGATGTCGGGAGCGATGTTTTCAAGAACTGAAATGCAACAAAATGATGCAGTAAACGGGTTTATAATGTGTTTAATGAATACGATGTATAGTAGGTTTGTTCTGGATCATTCTTAGTGTGTGTATTAGTGAGTTAGATGTTGTTGGTTTCGGGTTACAATTTTTTTTAGGGTGATTGCTGTTGGGAGAAATGTTTGTTGTGGACCCGGTTGAGCGGTGAGGGTTTGGATTATGTGTCATTATTCATCAGGCGTAGTCGTTTCGGTTGATGTGCGTGTTTCTAAATAGTACAGCTTATTCATGTTGTGATTAAATAACCCTTGTATGAAAGATTTTTTTATGAGGTCCTTATCATCGGAATCTGATGGAATCCGGTCAAATATGTGCTGAAGCCCTTGTGAACCGGGATCTTCCGGTAGTCCGGGTCGATCGATTGCAACAATGTGCGGTTGTATTATCCGGCAGGAAACGGCCGGACCATTTCTCTTTGAATTCCGGCCTGAATTCCAGGAGCAGAGATTCCGGCGAAATCTCTGTCGGATCCAGGCAGATTTGAGTGGGGAAACATGCCGGCTCCTGAAGTGATCCGTTGCTGGCTCCGATGGGTTCCGGAGGCAGGACCCAGTGTCTTGGGAACCACTTATTGATACCAAATATCATTGCCACACATTATTACCGATTTTCGATGCATTATATAAACAAAACATTGATTTTAGCAGGATTTCTTTGATGCTTTTAGTATTTTCAAGATTTCTCATGATCCGTGCTTGAGGATACACGAAAAATCATATGGAGTCAACTGTAGGTGCTCGCGAGCGTGTTAGGATATAGGGAGTGCTCCAAAAAGATCTGTTGGAAGTGGGATTTGATGATTTTCGGTCTGATCTGGAGGAGGTTTCTAGGCTGGTTGCATTGTTCAATGTGATCCGTATGGAAATGTAGTAGAATTGATGTCTGTAGTGTGCTCACTATCGATCCGAGGGGTTTACGAATGCATTTTTTTGTTCAGCGTTAGGGCCGTAAACGGTCGGTTACGATGTCGTTACGGTCGTATACGCTGCAGTGTTTGGCCGTTTTCTGTTGATGATACGGCCGTATCTAGTCGTCGTAATGCTCGACCTGGGTAACTGGCTCTTTTATTTATTTATTGATTGTTTATGAAACATTGAGTTATTTATCGTGATCAGAATACGAAGGAGCAACCCTATCGAACTCTGTTAGAATATTTTTTGGATAGCTAAGAACAACGAAATCTGTAAACTGCTTTAGATGGCGCTAGCCTACATTTTCATATTCGTAAAGTAAAAAAATTCGTATTGAGTGGCTTCAATTGGTGAAACGTTGGCGTACCCGTTGACTGCAAAAAAAAATGAGTATTGTGTCGCATTTTTCGTTTAACAAAAAATAAGGCCAAAAGTTTTTACCTGCACTTATTTTTTTTTGTATCTATGTGTTTGATATATATCATATTTTTCTATAGGACTGTGTTTTAATGATTACAGTTATTATTTCACAATTCAAGGTCTAGTGAATTTCACTCATTTTTCGAAAATCACTATTCATCATGCTACAAAAAAAGTACGCAATCGGACTTTTAAAGATAAGACTTGTTTATTCATTCTACAAATAAGAATGCTTAATTTTTCAATTTTTATGTGATAGTAATTCTTTTTTTGTGTTATCTAATTTCACAGATGGAATCATCAACAAAAAGCATCGTAGATATAGACTAATCCTATTCAAATGTGTCTATGCAGTTTCTTTAATGAAAAATTCTCATTATAATAGTGTCTGATATATTTTGTTTATATGTCCTCATGTGTCTTCTCACTCAGATACTTTTTGCTTCGATGCATTTAAGAAAATAAAATGAAAATAATTCTTAATTTATCCAACGGTCGAATTAGAAAAACAAAGTTTACTTTTCATTTTCTTATCTTTATCTCACATGATGACGAAGATTTCTTGTTTTCATTTCTTGCTTATATAAAACATGCGTCACGACTTTCTTGTTTAAGTACTTCATTACAATAGGATTTTTTATTTCAGATAATCCATCTATTCGTTCTGTGCAATAATGAAGTGGCCTATTTGTGGACCAAAACTATCCCTCTGTTGTACCATCATATCAATATGGGGTATAATACAATTCTTGTTAATGGGTATATTTTTTATTGTACAAGCAGCACCACTCATAGATGATTTCGATTTCGATGATAAGAATGCAACGGATACAAAAGTATTCGAGGAAGGTCTCAAAGCAGCTTTTCATCAACGTGCTTACAATTGTTGGATTGCAGCTTTTCTTTATGTTGGTTTATTGATATTTACTGCCATACAATTTAGAATTCATTTAAAACAATCATCAATACCTCCTGTTCCTCCAACAATTACATCACCATTTGCCGGTGTTACAACAGAAGGAAATGGTATTAATTCACAACATGGAATACAATTTATTAATGATCATAGTGAAACATAATACTTCAAAAACAAATTATTTTTAACAGTAACATTCCTATAAACTATATTTTATTTATTGATGTCTTGGTGTTGGTAAAGATAAATTTCTTGCATTTGTATAACTTTCGCTATAAAAACAACTATATAAAGCATTTATTGATAGACAAAAAAAAATTATTTTATTATACAGATTCATAAAAGAATCCTAATTAAATATGAAAATATTTGTTACAAGAAACATAATGGTGCTCAATCTTAGTTCATATTTCATCCTTGTGAAAAAACAAATTTAAATGATTTTTTTATAGAAACACGGTAGAATACTTCAACGGTACACTAGTACATTCATTTCCCCAGATATTTAGATGTTCAACAATGGCAGATATCAAGGAATATGTGCGATACTGTCTCAATCATACATTGAAGTTCACTTTGTAAAAACGCAATGATTGTTTCGAGGTTTATAATAGCTTGCTTAATTTCAATAAAGTTTACGTAGTTAAATAAGAGAAGTTATTAACACTTGTCTTTTAATTTACTCTCCAAGTAAATTTTCAAAGAAAAATTTCGAGGTCTAGATTTCATTAATCATCGTCGGGGATTGCATTGCTTTTTACCTTGATACACATTTCTGATATATGATCACAGATCATAAATAAATGATATCTCATTATAATCTATGCAGTAGCTGTTTTCTGTTGTAATTTTAGAGGATTACATAGAATAATGGTTGATGCATGTTCTTCAAAATATATAGAATAAATTAAATTCTTTGTAATTAGTAATAGCATGTTTCGCAAAGTATTCCTTCAGGGATAGTACTGATAGTGTTTCTCCAAAGAATGTGATACATGGTTCGATGGATTTCTATTTACTCTTGAGGGTGCGGGTGTTTGTTTTGTTCAAATCAACGCCGACACACGCATCCACACCCTCAAGATTAGTTAGTTGAAATAATTAAATTTTTTATTCCATGAGATGGAGAATTACTATTCGCCAAAAATTCAAATGAGATAGTGCTAACAAAAAAAAAGCTGAGTAATCTAATATAAGAAGGCATAGAAACGGGAGCACCGGAGATTAATTTTCTAGTGAAAATAAATTTATTGAAAGTACCCCCTACACTGTAAATCTAACCATACATATCATTTTCATATTCTTATCAAAATAATATATCGTGTTCCGAAGAGTCAAACCAGAAAGAGTTTGTATTATTTTCATATTAAAATTAATTTTCTTCACTGGGTCACTATTTTTCCATCATCACTATAATACAATAAAGTTCAACATCCAACCGGTTTTGTCATGTGTAAGAAAAAATTCTTTCACGATTATCTTTAAAAATGAGTTTTAACTGGAATTAAATCTATACAATACGATGGAGATATTTTTTTATGTTCCAAAAAATTAAGATCTATCATGATCGCTGCCATTCTGTAGATGCATTAATAAAAATCTGTTTTTTATGAAAACTTTTATAATAACTTTCATCCATTTGAACAATTGGTTTTGCGTTATCCTCATCATGTATGAATTCAACTAATAGATCTCTATGTGTATTGCATACGTTTCGTTACGTATAGTTTTTACGTGATTTCTTGAGGCTATGAATATCTTATTGTAATAAAATCTGCACATTTTCATAGCAAACTTTTAATATCATCATGTAGATTATTATTAACAAGAATGAACTCGTACTACTAATTTAATTTAGTTTAAAAAATAATATCTTTACAATTTCTTTGAATTTTCTAATAAAAATAAAACAAATAGTGATTTTGGTCCAACTTGTAATTCTTTCATTGTAGAATTATCATCTGCTAGAAGACCATTTACAAAAAAATATTGATTTGATGGAGAATAATGATATAAAAGTTCGAACTAGAAAGAAATTTTTTTATAAAATATACTCATTGTAAAAAATCTTTTTACATACAACTGCACGTAATTCTCGAACTGTAGTCGAGGGAAAAACATTAAGAAAAATAGTTCTGCCATCTTTATCAATATCATATTGATCCCCATCGAGTTGAACGAGAATTCTATTACACAAAGTAGTCAATAAAAAGCAAAACCGAAATTCTATCGTTTTCTTACTGAAATTGGTCTTCATTTTTTAATTGTGTAAATGCTTGTCCTTGAAGTCGAGCACCTTGTGAAGCAAGTTGCATAATGATTCTATTAGCTTCATCAATATTGCCTTGTTGTATAGATTTACTCAAATTATGAATATTAGTTAGGATATCTAAATCAAAAATGTGTATAAAAGCTCTTATCTTCAGTAAGATTAGTGTGACCTAGAGTATTGTAAACTATCGTAGAAAAATGCTAGGAAAATATTATTCTCATTTATACGGAACGTGTATTATCATTAGATTTTCCACGATATTTTTCAAGGATCTTACTCTTTGTATCGAAGTTTCCTGCAACTGGAATTTTTGGTTCAATGGGTTCGTTAAAATTGATATGGATAGAATGATCATCAATAGTTTCTGGAATTGTATTTGTAAATGCGTCAAAATTTAGCATTTCGCATATTGCAGCAAATGTATTATGAAATTCCTCCCGCGATTCATCATTTACCCATAGTTGATAAGTTCCATTTGAATGTTTGATTTCATCCGGTTCATTGTTCGATCTTCCAAAATGATACAGATCATTATTGGTTACAGGAAAATCAAAAATCACCTATAAGGAAGAAAAAACGACATTATCATTAAATAAAAACTGGTAGATTGTTTTTACTTCTTTGTTATTTTCTATATCAATTGCCTTTAGTGAATATTCATTATTATCATCGTCATAAGATAATTGTACCAATGATCGGTCGGAATAGGTACGTTGTGGAACTCGTCTATCATTTGAACTAAATTGAATAGCACCGGTTGTGAATGCTAAAATACTCATTCGATCTGGAATAATAGAAGAAATTAATTTTTTATTATTTAAAAATATAGTTTCTATATCAAAATTGAATTTATTTGTAGTCAACTTTAATAATAATAATAAAACAGCAAAATTTTTATTAGTTGCTTAGGATGTTGTAGTTAAAAACAAAACAAATAATGAACCATCCTGAATTTGTAAGCTATTCATTGTTGATTCTGCATCGGCTAAATGACCATTAACAAAAAAATATTGATGAACTGATGGAAATTTATGTGTGTATTCAAACTATTAATAGAAATAAATTTCAATACTTAAAAAGCAAATAAAACTCATTCACTGACGAGGGCTCGTAATTCGCGAATTTTGGTCGATGAATAAACTTCCATATCTAGAGTGGCTCCATGGTTTATTATTCGTGGGTCGATACCATCAATCTTTATTTGAATTCTATATTGATAAATTGATGATAACAATAAACATGAATATTTACATACTTAATTGTCTTATCGTCTTGTGAGTCTTTTACAGTATCAACGCGAAGTCGAACACCACTTGCTATTAAATTCTTAATCAGTTCAGCAGCTTTACTTTCTTTACCGTTTTGTATATATTCACCCAAATTATGGATATCGGCGAGAATGGCTACAGAATTACATCAGAAAAATGAATGCTAATCAGAGAATTGCATTTCGCTGATATGAATGAAATTCGTCAAGATGTCTATTGTTCAACGAGCGCAGTAGCGGTGATACTAAACTTAAATGTTTTGTCCGTGTTTACAAATAACGTATCATGTCTTGTCAAGAATTCGAATACAGAGTAGTAGAAGTTTCAATAAGAGTTACTTATATTGTGAGAAAATTCTGTCTTACTGGAGTGAAGAATAGTAATTAATTGAATCGAAATAAATTATATACTAGACAGTGACGCAAACGGTTGGACTAAAACTATGGGTAATGGTTTCAGGAAAGAAAAATCATTCAAAAATGTTAATCTTTCGTAGATGCATGAATAACACGCTGGATAATGTGATTTATATCTTTCATATTTTCAAGATACCCTCGATTGTCGTCAGTTATCACCTCGGCCTAATGGCTAAAATTATTCCTTTCATGTAGAGTTTCCATTAATAACTAGAATAAAATGGTCTAACTTTTTTCGTTGACTTTGCTTCTTGTGTTCTGTAGTCCAGTCGACGGTTTATTCTCAGCCGATCTGCTTGAATTGGTATCCCGTGGTCGTGAGTTCACCGAATCCAATGTCCGGAAACATTCGCGTAGTTTTTCATGAAAATTTCCACGTAACTGTCTTTTTAAAAGTACACTATAAGTCCCATCTGGATGATCAATGTTGTCTGCATCACTATCTGAGCTTCCAAATTTATACAAGTCAGCCTTTGTTATAGGCAAACAGAAAATCTCCTACAAAGCGATATTTAGTGAACCATTATATTTAGACATATTCATGATTACGCTTTTGTTATTTTCTATATCAAGAGCTCGCAATATATAACGACCAGCATTGTCTTGAAGTAGTTCGATTAAAGATCTGTCTGAATAAGCTCGAGATTGATCTCTTCGACCGTTTGATATGAATCGAATGGTGCCGGTACAATATACTATAGAGCTCATTTTTATCTAAAATGTAAAATAAAATTCATCATCAAGTAATTTCATATTATGTCTCATAGAAAATGTTTATCAAAAAGACAAGCTTTACTAAAGAGATGAATTTTCATCAGAGAAAAATAATGATGATCGTAAAACGGAAAATATTAAATTGAGAATAAAAGCTTTTACTATAGGTTTTCAATATGTGGTTGTTTTGTTTGAAGTCAAAGATCATGTAAAACTAATTTCAAAATTAGTTCAGTATCCTAATCAGTAACAATTGTAATGAGTGCAAAAACAAAGTATACAATAAATTAAAGTGATTCGTGGAGTGTTTTATTGATGTAGATAAAGTTTTCCTGTACAAATGAGAATTCATATTTTGACAACAATTCCTTTCTTCTCTAATGGAAGCTTTCTATGCTTTTAAATCATAGCGATACATACTAATCCATTTAGAATTTTTCTTTAATCTTTAGAAATAACTAAAATGCTTCAAATTTTAATTTCATTTTAGTCGAAACTTGTGTAACGAAAAGGCTGAAAAATTTTTGATTGATGAAATATCACCGTCATGTTTTTGAGACTTTCTTAAACCTCATTTACTTTAGTCCAACTGTTCAAAACATGCGTATGTTATATTTCGTGAAATATAACCCATAGTAGTGCATTTGATTATAAATAATAATTTCCATTAACAGAACGAACTTTCTCGAAGAACTGGAATTTCTGTGAATCAAGCTTTTTTGGAAATCGAAGATTTCCTACACAAGATAATATTTAGTCAATCATTGTATTCAAGAATTTTCTACTTTGTTAATTTCTGTGTCACATGTCAACGATGCATAATCCTGAAAGAAAAATCCATTTCAGTTGAAAAGTTGTCTTGCGAAAGAACGTCAAAGATGCTATTTGTCAGGTGACATGCAATGCATTTGGCTTGCTTACTATGTTTGTGGTAGGAAGAAGGCTTCGCAATGAATCATCCATATTATTTTGGCGAGTTTTCCCACTTGGAATTTTTTATTTGATAAATTGTTTATTTGAACAGATACAATCTGGCCTTAGATACGATATGTATATTGATTTAAACAGCTGTTTTTCAATTTGACATAGAGGGCTACCATTAACTTCTCATTGGTTAAAATCGGAAGTTTATGATTGTAATGATCGTTAAATATTTTTGCTCACTCATATATTTGCAATCCAAAGAAAAACTATGTCTTCACATCTTTGGCCAACGATTGAAACATCAAAAGTTAATTCATTGTGGTTTCGACCATTACAACCGGGTAGAAGAGAATGTTTTTTATCCGCATTTTTCATTAATTTTCTCATTTTTCTAGTACGAGAAGAATCAAGTTTAGCTAAATTTGAAGAATTACTTGAAAAAGATCGACGACATTATATTGAAAAAGGTATTTAGTTTTCAATTGAAATTTTATTGATTGAAATTTATTTTTAATGCAGGTGTTAATCTACCATTTCATGGGCGAGCAGAAATGGATAATGCTGATGTGAGAATTTCACACAATAGAGAAAGAAGAAAAATGCATGAGACTTTCTTTCTAGGATGATGAAGATGCAGATGAAGCTGAAGAAGAAAGTGAGGTTGGTGAACCAGATGATGAAATGGACGCACAACAAGGTCCGGGATCGCCTGGAAATACAATCGGTACTGGAGTACCACCACACGATGCTTAAATATATTTGTATCTAGAATGTTTTTTTTTTAATAAATGAAACTTTCTTTTTTTAAAACAAAATAATAGTTATTACCTATATATTTTCAGATATGGCGTCAAAATATCGGTAAAAAAAGATGATGAATTATCAAATTCTTTCACTCGTTTTTATTCTATAAGTGATGTTTCTGTAAAATTGGTGCGAATTCAATTGTCCACAAATAGTCCAGTAGTAAACTACGATCATGATGTGACAATTGGAATGCCACGAGACCCCGAGACAAATACAACATATCTTCGAGTTGCTGTAAATCAAAAGGTATGTCCTTGTTGTATTTAGCTACAAAAACGCTTTTGCATCTGTGCAGTTCGTTGAAGGAAATAATTTTTATGAGTTCAGCGTGAAAAGTTTTAAACTAAACATGATTGAAAATAAGTTTTGTCTTTTGTTAGTCGATTTTTCATGAAGAACTCGATCTTTTTCGGTGGCTTGATGATGCTTCCACAAATGGAGTTGCCGTAATCAGTACATCATCAACTAAAATTATTAGTCTGTATGATGCAACAAATCAAGCCACATCTGCATTTTTCGAAGATATGAAAACATTTCTTAGACAAGGTATGCTTTAAGAAAACGTATTTAATAACTTTCTTATAAAGAGCAAGCATTTGTATGTCGTCACTGGAATGAAATTTTCATTTTCAAAGATGTGGTAAGAAGAGACCAAGAGCATGCCGCATCGGCTGGGTTTTCTTTTTTTATTAAAAACAAAAAGATTATACTGATTATCCAATTATGTTTCTTCGTTATAAATATCTGAAAAATAGAACGTTCTAGTTTTTATTAATTATCTTATTTTTAGAACCAGCAGAACAATCTCATCAACCAAACACACAAGGTATCGATGATTACATTTAAAAAATTATAGAGAATAATTTGTGCATTATTTCAATAAAATAATTTTATCTATTGGCGAAAATGATGAACAAGTCAAAACACGCTTGAGTTGAATAGATCGCGTTTCTCCTAGGTTAGTTAGCTGGCGGTAATTTTATGAAATATAGAAAAGCATTAATGATTTATCTCACAAGAATATTCATTCAAGTTAATGATCTAAGTAAAATGTATAAATAGTTCATTTTTCGATACATTCAAATACACAAATAACTAACTCATTTTTTTTGGATCTGCAGTAGGTAAACTAGTTCGAGTGAAAATATAGATTTCTAAAATGAAATACACAATACTCGATGAGTATAACTAGAAACAAGATCATCCACATCTACCAGTTCATATGTATCGATTTTCATTGATAACCACGGTAGTCACACATAGAGAATACCCGATCTACAATTGAAAGTAACCTTTCATGTGTGCAGACATTAAAACTTATTTTAGCTGTATGAACATACATCTTCCATTATATATAGGTCAAAGGGAATTGGCTATTCAAAACCTTGTCTCTTGTATTGAACAAGGTTCTTCTATAGGTGCTGAAACTGCTGCAAAATATTTAGCAAGATCGCGAGCGAATATTGAATTTAATTTGAGCAGTCCTAAGGATAATGCAGATCCAAAAAGTTCAATCACGCCTTCAGCGGCAGCGGCAGTGCCATCTAATGTTCTTCAGTTAGTTTTACATGATTTATTTTTCTACTATTTTAATCTGAATATTTAGATTGACACTACGTATTGAATGTCATTTGAACAGAGAACCGTTGGTTGGAATTATTCATGTACGTTCTGGCACTAAACTTCGAGTATTGAAAGAAGAGGTTTGTGAATATGAAATCTTAAAAATGTTTTGTTTTCTAAAATAATTGCTCAATTCATATTTTAGATCGAAACTCAAACAAATATTGATCGTAAAAATCAATATTGGTATGCTTTCGATCGATTTATGATCGATGATGATTATGTATTCGGATCGACAGAACTAGTAGCGCCACCTACTCCAAGAAATGCTCCGCGGAAAAAAGATGAAACTCCAACCGAACCAATTCGCTCTGGTGATACTCTTATTATGTATATTGCACAAATGCCACCATACACATAAGAAAACTGATGAATTTTTATTTTAAAATCAATGTTATCGGAACTTTAATTCGTCTTTTTTTCAATTTATTTACTAATAAATTTATGTATTTTTTGTGCACTAGAAAAGTATTTAAATTGATTTAGAAAAATATTTTCTTTTCCTCAAAGATGGCTGTTCATCATCGTCAATTAACAACCGATCTTAATTCTCAGTTAACAAAAATATCTTTGCCATATCAATGTCGTAAACTACTGTTGTCATATGGAATATGGAACTCATCAATAAATATGATTGAAATAGTTCATCAACATCGTTCAGCGACAAAATGTTTTCTGTCAATGGGATTCATGAAAAATTCAAAATTATATATTTACCCTGAGGAAGCAATTTTTATGATGCAATGCTCATTATTACAAGTATCCATAAATAACCTAAAAGAAAAAAATGCCATTCCTATATCGCTTACTGAAGCATATTCATTATGGTTCAATCAACCACGACTAAATATTAAACATCTCCATGTTTATCAATATTTAACAAGAATTGGATTTACTCTAATTCGGCATCGAACAGATAGAAACATGATTGAAACAGAAGAGAATTTATCAAATAAGAATATTAAACGAAAACGAGATGAATACGAAAACGAAATAATCGAACCTCCAGAGGAAGAACAACACCATCAATATGAAAACTATACTTGTCCGGTAATTGGAAATACAAAAAGAAACATATTGTACCAGAATATATCGAGTTAGATCAATGAAGCCTATTAGAAAGTACTTAACTTTGTATAGATGAGTAATTTTCTCAATAATTTTTTCTCACGAAGAATCATAAATCAATTCTTTCTCTTCATAAAAGAAACAGTTTGATTCTTTAACATAAAAATGGGTTGTTTTCCTTACGTTTCTCTCAGCGATATCCTTTTTAAGATGAAAACTTTAATATAACTAATTACATAAATGTCTTTGTAAATAGAGGCATTTATCGTCGGATTGTCAACGACAATGGTTTCCAAACTATACTGATGATCCACCTATAGATATGAAAGCTTATCCTCGTTTATTATTTCCTGATAAATTATTACCGATACAAATTGATTGGGTTCCATCGGATTTCAATTTGAAAGTTTCTAATGTTCAATTGTCTATCTATGAAAATAATAACTCATCACCTCGCCCATCGTTTTCTCTACTTCGTTCAATCGATCTTCAATCTCATCGAACAATTTATCAACGTTTATCATCGTTTCGCTTTCATTCAAATCAAACTGTTCCACCATCATCATCATCATCATCGTCCGATATATTTTTCGATATGTATAAATCCAAAAAAAGTTTTCGTAGAAGTCAACCAGGTGAACCTGATTATTACATACAAATAATAGATGGCGATGATGAATTTAATTTTGAAAAAACCTATCATCAACAACAAACAGACACTTTAACCGCTATTGTTCATAGTGGTGACGTTTCTTTTTATTCAATTAAATCATTCGATCCAATAGGAGCATTTCAATGATGTAAATTTTGTTTTCATTTTCTAGATGTTTACAATTCAGTATTGGACGATAAGTTTAATAACAGGTATACTGATTCTTAATTGGCTTCGAGGACGAGTTAAAACCTCCCGGTATCATGTTATTGCACGTCAACGTGCACAAGCAAAACGAACAGCTCGTGATAAACGTCGAGAACAGTTGTTAAATCTTCTACGAACAAAATATTCAAAGCATCTGCCTGAACGTAGAATAGCCGAGAGAATATCACAATCAACAGCAGTTGAATTACTAGATGGCCTGCATAAGAAAGATTTTACTTACACACAAGTCACACTTGTACTTTCTTTGCGTGCCATTAAAATCGGACAAACACTTAATTGCACTACTGAAGAGTTTTTTGATCAAGCACTTGAATATGCCGAAAAATTAGATGAAAATGACAATAGTGACGCGGAAGTTTTACTTAAAGGTATACCCATTAGTTTAAAAGATCAAATTGATCAGCAAGGAGCAGATTCTTCAATGGGAATGGCTATGAGAAATTTTCAGCCAGCATCTAAAGATAGTCTTATCGTTGAATTACTTAAACAGCAAGGCGCATTTCCTGGTTTTGTACGTTCAGCAACTATACAGGCAATGATGTTACCGGATACTGAAAGTGAAACTTATGGAGTAGCAAACAATCCTTACGATTTAACACGTTCAACAGGTGGCAGTAGTGGTAAATAATTTGTTTTACATAAAAAGTTCAATTATTAGAATACTGAAAAAATTCTTTTGCTAGGTGGTGAAGGAGCATTGATAGCTTCTCGTGGTTCTCCGATAGGAATCGGTACAGATATTGGTGGAAGTATTCGTATACCTGCGCATTTCTGTGGTATATTTGGATTTAAACCTACACCAGGACGTCTTACAAATAAGGGTGCATGTAGTCCTAGTGCTAGAAATGAAATGGGCCAATTAAATATTCGTGCAACTGCTGGTCCATTAGCTCGATGTACAGATGATCTTGTTCTTGTTATGCGTTCATTCTTGCAAGAAAACATGTGGCATAACGATCCTGAATTAATCAGACAACCGTGGCGAAATGAACGCTTTATCGATAAAAAAAGATTGACTATTGGCTTTTATACAAATGATACTTGGTTTCCCGCTGCACCTGCTTGTATACGAGCCGTTAATGAAGCAGCTGAAGCTCTTCGTAAAGTTGGCCATACTGTTATTCCATATACACCAATTGATGTGCCGGAAGCTTTACGTCTTTTTCTTGGTATCATTGGAGCCGATGGTAATCGTCATTTACTTGAATCATTAGAAAAAGAACCAATCAATTCACTTTATAAACAACTGTTTCAAGCAGCAAAACTCCCGAATTTTCTTCGTCCTTTATTAGCGCGTCTACTTCGTATTTTTGGTGAGCGACGCAATGCTCATGTTATTCTATCAGTAGGCTCAAAAACAGCTCATGAATATTTTGATTTAATTATCGATATGCAAAAGTATGTTCAAAAATGGTTAGATGATCTTAAAAGCAATAATATAGATCTACTTCTCGTAAGTAATAATAGAACTAGGTAGGTTTATTTTTCCTTTTGAAATTAAATAGGCACCAGTTAATGGTTTACCAGCATATCGTCATGGTCAATCCGGTCATTTATTTCATTCGTGTAGTTATACGTTACTTTTCAATATTCTTCATTTCCCAGTTGGCGTTGTACCAGTAACATTAGTTCGAGACGATGAACAATATTATGAAGACATTGGCAACTTAAATAATGACATGGTTACATCTCTTGCTAAAGATGTATGCCGACAATCGGCTGGACTACCTATTGGTGTTCAACTGATTGGTTGGCCCAATGATGACGAACGTGTTTTAGGTGTTATGAAAGAACTTGAAACTACCATCGGAAATAACTCATCGCCCATACCAAAGTTGGCCAATAACATTGACATTTATACAGATTAAAGCATTAATCAAAAATCTTGCTGCCTATAGACAATAGATAGACTAATTTATTTTTGCAATTGGCATCAATTCTTCGCGCATCTTTTTATTTATTTTTTCATGTATAGCTTAGATGATATTACTAATATTATAAAAAATACAATAAATATTATATTCCAGCAAAGATCGACTTTTCATAATCGTAATCAATAATGGATGATTTAAGTTTGACTGACTACTTGGATTATTTGAATGTCAATTTAGATCTAGTTTTTGTTTTCAATAATACACGTAGAACAAAAATAAAATCCACTATGAATCAATACCCTCCATAATTTTCACGCATTACATTTAGCTGGGTATTCTGTGCAGATTTTGTTTTTCTTTCTTGCTTATGTGTTTCGCAATATTGTCATAACACTGCGAAAAGTAGTAGGCTAAAAACAACCATATAAAAAATAGAAAGATCTTGATAATATTTATTCAATTTATTCGTACAAAATTATCCTGCTTCGACGTATACTTCGCCATAATAATTACATTATTATTTAAAATAACGTAAGTAGTAAAAAAACGTCTTCTCCGTATGAATCATATGTTAAGAAGAGGTTTATTATGTACTCCATGATTGGTGCAAAAGTGTTTGTCTTTCGAATCTATTGAAAACTTGTATTTCGAAAAATAGTTATTAAGCAAACAAGTAGGAATATATAATTTAAGCACATATCCCCGTCGAAGTATCTGCGTATAGTAACTAATGCAGATCACTCTATTTAAAAAGTGATTTTATACTTTTTCTGTAAATTCTAATAAGAAAAAAACATTAGAAAAAAATCGAGTAGTGACAGTATCATGTTCTATAAAGGCTTCAGTTTTTATGAGAAACAAAAATGAGAGTTCCAGAATTTAATCTTGATAAATAAGTTTACACAAGTTTAAGCAAAATTTTTAATCAGGAAAAGCGAATTGAAATTTATTTAGTTTTCCCTTCAGTGCTGATTTGAGGTTTTTTTTAAATATGTTCATTAGTTTCATTTAAAGTATGTGATCAAGTGAATAATCACGTACGGGTTCCCTCTCTGAAAGCGTAATAAATTGTTAAGAATAATAAATAGACAAGAGTACGAGCATGAAGCAAGCTGCACAGATATTCGAACGTTATCATATGCATAGGTGTGTATATTTGAGCTTGATGATCGAAAGCTAAATTGTAATACTTTTAAAAGAACGATAGACTTAGTTTTTAGTTAGCAGTTCAAAACGATGTCAGCTGAAACATATCGTGTGTGTCTCTACTTTATTCGTCATGCTCAATCCGAAGGCAATGCTGTTCCCAATATTATACGTGGTCGAGATGTGTCCTCTCAATTGACACCATTGGGATTCGAACAAGCAACACTATTAGGTAGCTATCAACTGTAAATATCCATGAAATTTAATTTATCTGTTTCTTTCTCACGCGTTAGGTAAACGATTTAAGTTTCAAAACGTTAAATTCAACTACATGTTATGTTCATCAGCTGTTCGTACGATCCAAACGGCGCATACTGTATTGGCAGTTCTTAATTTAAACAAATCGAAATTAATCGTAACTCCTGAACTCTTAGAACAATCTCAGGGCCAATGGGAAGGCTTGGATCGTAAATCACCTCATATACAAGAAGCAATTGAAAAAATGAAAAGACAAAATGCTGTTTTTTGTGCTCCAGAAGGTGAATCATTAGATATGGTTCAAAAACGAGCTATAGCTGCTTTAGAACCATATGTCGAACAGGCAAAACAAGAAAGTATAGTTAAGAATCGAAAAATCACCATTGTCATATTTGCTCATGGTGGCGTAATACAAAGTCTACTGCAATATTATCTGCAAAGTAATATGCGTGATGCCTGGCTGATTCGGCAACATAATACTGCCATTAATGAAATTATCTTAAATGAAAATGGCGTCTCCTTAGTAAAAGTGAATGATTATGGTCATTTAACATTTTTAATTTCAGAAGAGGCATTACATAGAGATGACAACGATAAACAGAACAATCGCATCTCTAAAGATTGAAAGAATTTAATAAGTTTCCTTCAAATCAAACAAACAGACGATTTTGTTTTACAACTACTTGTGCATTCCTTCAACGTTTCGCTTTATTCTCTATTTAAAAACAATTTTGAACTCTAAGCGTTAGAGAATTTCATCTGTCGCAGAAAGTCTGTTTCAATTTTGAACAGAAACAACATTTAACGTGCCAGCAAATTATCCTAGTTACGCATCTCGAAGAGTTCTATCGCTATCTTACGTACGTTATATCTTTTAAGATGACAAGAAAAAGAGACGATCTGAATTTTTGTTTTGTGAAACAACTGTCACAACAATGGTTCGTTTCAAATATTAAGAAACGTCGTTCCTTAAGATTTTTCCCATCAACTGACTTTGTGTTTTTTCTTTATTTAACTTAATCTTAAAAAAAGAGTTCATACAAAAAGATAAATCTGTATTATAAAAAATCACAAATAGAAGAAGTAAATATGTACTAATCAATTATCATAATATCATCATCGTCATCAATTGATACTGTTGTCGAATTATGAGTTGTCATTGCCGATTCTATTGTAACTTTACTTTCAGTTTTATTTTCACCATGTTTAATTACTTGTTGTTGTCGTTTTTGTTCCGCCATTGTATTTTTAATTTGCTCTCGAACATTCTCTTGACGTTTTTGTAAAATGAATGTTACTTGTTTTGGTGGTTTAAAGTCTTTTCTTCGAAGCCATTTATCAATAGCCTAGAAAAGATATTTAAAAAAAAACTAAATCATTACTCATTTTTCTTTCTACTTGTTTAATATCTAGTCGGAACTTTTCAGCTATTGTTGCAAATTCATCTGGTTTAACTTGACGGCGTTTATGATCTTTAAGAGCTTCATTATAATAATCTTTGATTTGTTGAAAATTTAAATGTTCAGATTGTCTATTCTCAAATTCATTTTTTAAAAGTTGTAATTTCGTTTGTAAAAATGCTAATTCATTTTCGAATGCTTTCGGCAAGTCAGGCTTAATACATTGATGAAAAAGACTAAATTCACGTGAACAATTGATACGAGCTAGTTTTTCTAAATCAGCTGCTTGTAAAGTACGTGATGTAGACACGACTGGCGTTTTACATGAATTCGATATTTTAGAAAATAGATTAGAACGAGGCCGAGCATCACGAGCAGTACTTGTTGGCTTCGAAAGTGTAGCTGGCGGTTTGACAAGTTTCGGTGTCTTTGGCTTTGGAGGAGGACGAACGCGAACAGGCTTTGGTGGTTCAAGACCTTGAATCAAAGAAACATAAAGTATTGACAACAACAATAACAGAAAAAAAGCACAGCAAGGATAACTATACGTTTTTGAATTTCCCGTGTTTCACATTTAGTAACTCGTTTGACTGCTCTTTCTTTACGCGATGGAAATTTAATGTTAAAGCTAGGTGTTGCTGTAGGTGCCATCTAAAGTAAGACAGCAAAAATTTAGATTATTCGAGAGAAGAGAAGAAGAAAGAAAAATATGTAGACGATAATATTTAAAAAAAAATATACACGTTACCACATTTACGTTTCTACTTGGCTACGCAATCATAAGCGAACGCGTAGTAAATACACATGCTTACGATAGACGTACACATTTACCAACACGAAAGAGCCTTATTAAATAGGCAACTAGACGAATGAGTACAAAACTCTATCTAGTCGTGAAAAATGTGCTCGACAGACTAAATTTTCAATTTATCATTACCATATCTGTCTTTAATATGTTGCATTATAAATATTTTTGGATAATTTCTAAAATTTATTCATTAAAATTCAATTCGAAAAATGACAAACTTACATTGAAAACGACTGTGTAGCGTATATATATACTTGTATTTATTCTACTCAGTTTGTGAACAGCGTTCTTTTGGTCGACAGACTGACGATAGGAAGAAAGCAAGCAACTATACTCTTTATGCGGCTAGAAAAAGAAATGTACGAACGTACGAGTGACTATGGTATTACTTCTATATGCAGCCTTGAAAGCGCACAACGAAAGAAACGGGAGATGTTTGACCTCTTCTCAAAGGAAAGAGAAAAAGAAAAAAGATTCATAGGAAACAAAAATCTACTGAGCTAGTTACGTCGATTAAAGACGTCCTGGTTTACAACCACCTTACAATTGTGCACAAAAATTTCGCCATTCGTCGTGTCGTCTCCAAATATTTGTTATTGAATCAAACTCATTAATAATGAATAATTTGTAACTGATAGAATTAGTGGCATGAGCGAGTATTGATAGTGAATTCTTCTCGAAAACAAAAAGTACCAGTTGAAAGAAACTCTTCATTAGTATCAAAAAGACTGTATTTCTTGATCGTAAAGAAAAGTTTTCATATAAAATTTTTGTTAAAAAGGTATTCTATCTGAAGTCAGTGAGAATCTATCGATGATTGTAATGTTTTAGTCAACAAATATGTTACAGAATGTCCGTTCTAGTGGACTCTGTCCAATAAAATATAAATGATTAGTAGATTAATTCAATATCACTAAAGCTGATCATCCAGTTCAACAAACGCACTCGTATTTAATTAGTAATAAACGCAAATGAAATCACAATCTACTACTTTTATAGGCAAACAATGAAGAAGTGTAAATTTCGCGATATGTGAATCGAAACAATAATAGAATATCTCTATCTATACGTTTAGCTTATATCAGGCTTCAGCGTCTGATGTAAAAGTGCCAGTACGTTGCGATCTGATGATAATTTATTTGATGAAGCCCATTGCATTCTTGTTGAAGAATTGAACTTTGTAGGGCTATTTCCGTGTTAAAATAAACTTCTATTCTTGATATACAACGCTTTTGATTAACAGATTTCAATAGGAGAATGCCATGAATAGTATCTGTAAAATTAGGTCTACTTTAAATCTAGTTAGAAATTTTGTTTATGTTGTTTTTGATGAAAAATAGTACGATGATTTCACATCGGTCTACTCCTTGGCATTTATGAGAGAATGGAAGTGATTTCGAAAAGGCAATTCATGAATTAAATCGATAGTAAATATGGTGCGAATCATGGCGCTTCCGTAGCCCTTCGAAAGGCCTGTTTCTGTTCGTCTTTCTTTCTTTCTGGGTACATGACACGAGGATTTGTAAAAACAACGGAACTCAATCAGTATTCATTTAAGTATAGGGGCGCTAATTCATGATTGAATTGATGGTATTCTTCTTGTTTTTAACGTCAAATTGTACATGAATCAAACAACGGGAATAGAGCGATCAATCGAGTGTATTCATTGGAAAATTATTGATAATGCTGTCTTACCAAGGGAAATTTTAGCCTCGAGAAGATGATTGACTTTTGTTTTTGAGACAGACCGTTTTCCAATAATCGAAATGCAAAGCTTTACGATTCATTTATTAATCAAATGCAATTCAAATGTTATTTAGTTTCATTGAGGCATTCCCAGAAAAATACGAATGGTAAACCTTATTTCGGATGTATTCAATGACAAACTTCCGACAACTTTGAAATTCAACTCTTCTGTGAATTCTTTCATTGTATTTTCCAACTACTCCAATGCTTTTTTTAAATAAGAATTTCTGTTTACTTTGAAGAAAAACTAAACATTAGCCCCCCAAGTAGCCTACATAGCCATGCTAATGTCGCAGTTTTTTCTTCGCAAATAATGGAAGAAATATTATTGTTATAGCCGAAAAATCTTACAGCTATAGAGGAAGGGAGGGGCACGAAGAAGGTTTCACACTATTGGTTAGAGGCGCCCTCAAATAATTGATGTTTCGAATGACGAAAGGTGTTCTTCCGTTTTCGAATATTAGTAATATGAGTAAACATTTCTGCAGCCTTTCTCATTATTACGTATTTAAATAAAATTCATTTGACCTCTCTCATTAAAAAAGCAATAGCTTTGGTTATTTACTTTATTTTTATTTGTGCTGATAAGAAACTTTTTGGGAATAACCAACATGGAAAGTATCTTCTAAAATACCCGTTAATATATTTTTATTCCTTTACTAAAAAATATCACAAAGAGTTTCAAAAACTGTTTTCACACTGAACTAACCATAATATTATTGTAAAAATAGATTCACACGGCTAGTTTTCAACGAAGTCACTTTTTTTTCCTTCTCATTCTATAGCAAGCATATGCACCGCATGATTAATAGGAAGGATTAGGTCACTTCCTAGTTTCCTTTAAGTAGAAGAAACAATACTGCCGTAATTTTGCTTTGATATAAAATCCAATGTTTATTAGTTCTATATACGAGAACATCATTTTTATTGCCCACAAACGAACTGTTGAATCTCTATGGCTGATAACTATGACGACGTCGATGAAGATCCAAGGCTGGCAGCATACGAAGAGTTGAGAACAACATTGAAAACTCCTGAAAACCCCTTCACCGATGCGAAATTATTGAAGTCCGGAAATTTCGATATCGATGATTATACGAATGTCACGCACTCATCGTCAAGTACTTCGTCGACTGCCGACACCCACAATATTTTGAGACTATCGGAAAATTCTCATGAAGTGCCGTTCGATCATCGTGAATGGGAAATCTGCGATCCATCTTCAAATAGAAAACGTCCTCCACGACAAAATGAATTTCTTCAACTTCTTTTAGAAAATTCACGTTATTCTTCATACGTATCATGGGTAGATAAAAGCCAAGGTTTATTTCGAATTCTTCAACCAGAACGAGTGGCTGATCTTTGGAAAAGTGTTAAGTGTCGACAAACTCAAGGAAAAATGAATTATGAAACATTTGCAAGAGGCGTCCGATATTATTATGGAACAGGATTGATGATTAAAACCAATAAAAAGTATACGTTCTGTTTCAAACAATCAACACAGTGATTCTGTAATTTGAAAATAGATATTTTTTCCCAGTAACATTTTTCCGATAAAAATTTGGACTAAATTCATTCGATATGAATACAGTATATAATTCGTTTTTCTTTAAGGGATCAAATTCTAACAGGTCGAAACGTTTGCACGTTTATCACAATATTTCTGTGAATAAATCAATACAAAAAATGTCGCTGGCGATATTGAAAAAAGAACTTGTAGAGTCGACGATTAACACTAATTTACTTATAGACTACGCTAAATTTCTGATCAGCCACTCTAACAAAACATTGACTTCAAAGGAAATTTACTTTAGAAACTTATTAATTCAATTGCAAAGAACTTCACGAAAAGAAAACATACATAGGTACAATCGTGACTTTGAGAGAAACCACATAGATTCACAGATTCTAGCGATTTTTCTTTTAAATTAAGAAAGCAAAATTATTTTCATATGACTTGATTAAAAATTTCCATAGAAATCAACGAAAACACTTGGAGTCATTTTTTAGACTGTGATAACATATAAGTATTCAGATAAGTAATACTTCCTTTCTCTATTTGTTCTATGATCAACTGTCGACATCGATAAGTACGATTTACTTATAGAGATATTCGTTGCAAAATATCATAAGGCTGAGTGAAAATTACATCGTCTATTTGAAATAGCACACTACATAAACGATTCATCAATAAATAATTCGCTGAAATCGCATAAAGTAATATACGATATTAGAATGATCATAAATTGTTATGAGGAACGGATAAATAATCAATGTCTTGAGTCATATCAATAATACCAAGAGAGAGAAAACACCTGATATTTGCTATAAACAAGATTATGAAAACAAATACTCATTCGCTTCTTCTTTCGTGTCCGATGCAACGAATACATCATGATTTTTTAAAAACTGCCAAATCATAGTCGCATGGTAATTGATATGATTTTTTTTCGAATCATAAATCGTACGTGTTTGTACAAAAATTAAGTGAAGAGAAATATGATTTTTATTGCTTGGAAAGTGCTGTTAAATATTGATCGCGTATGATAAATAAAAAACAACTAAAACGTGCTTACGAATAAGTATAAAAGAGGTCAGACTCTGCTACTTTACTATGATATCAACCTCAATGAAAGATTTTTTTTTTATAAATTGTATGAAATATAGGCCATCAATCATAAAAATGTTTTTTGTTCTTTTCTACATAAATATGTCACCGATTAATATTATTGCTGTCGTAGACTATTAGAAAAAAAAGAAATGCTTCTAATGTGAAATACACGCTCGCTGCTCATTTTTATGATACCTATCCTACCAAGATGATAGTAGTAAAGCAATCTCTTCCGTTTTTTGGAAATAGAAATAAAAAACTCAATAATCATCCTGATGTGTATCAAATATAGCCAAACACAAGAAACTAAAAATATTCGATACAAAAAGTAGTTATCACTTTTCGAGTTCCAAAACATTAGAATTGTTCGCAACGTCAACTTTACCCACACTTTAAGCTACACTCAAAAACAAGCACTCATTTGAAATAGAAATAAATAGCTTATTCATAACTTCATCAGTTACATTTAATATTGAATTACGCCCATAACTTATTTTTATATTTGACGCTATTCTGCTTTTGTGGAATTTTATTGAACGCCAAATGCAAGAATAGCTGCCTACTCCAACTATTGTAATATGAACGAAAACAAACTGTCTTACCAGTCTTCATAATCGATCGAGTAATTAATTGCATAAGGGTTTGAGATTTGTTTTTACTTGTTATGATTTGAATTTCTACACATCTATATCTAATTTATTTTTGTTCATCCTTCATAAAAAAATAAATAATTTGAAAAAAATAAGCATAAGAACGCCTCATTATAAAACAAAGAACACCAGGATTAATTTTAAACGAAGAAAAAAAACATAATTAAATATATATATATCTCTGTATAAACAAATAATAACATTTAATAATATCGATAACGAAAAAACATCCAATTATTCATGTAATCGTCCTCATCATCATCATCATCATCATCATCTTCGTCTTCATCATATTCATGAGTTGTTGAATAAGCAGCTAAATTAAGATAACTACTTGGATTAGTATTACTTGTATTTGTATCAGTTTTCCATTCAACTCGGCAAAATGGACAAGTAACTGATTCACGCATAGATACTTTTGCTTGACGCCATTGTTCAAAACAATTTTTATGCATGTTATTTCCACATGATTTTGAACAAAATATGAGATTATTCTTATCATTTATCATCGATTCATAACAGATAGGACATTCGTCTTCATTTGTGATTGGTTTTTGTTGAATTGTTGTGGGATTTATGATCGCATCTGGATCACCTGTTTTAGCATGATAAGCTTCACGAATCTATTCGAAAAAAGAAATAGGAAAATAAAAATCAATTCTATGTGTTTTCTTACCGATTGTTCAGCAAGAATATATGAACCATTATATTGTGCATCAGCTTTTGAAAAAATTTCATTTAATTCACTTGTAAGTAATGCTTGTTGATAGAGTAATGGAGAACTACGACTAACTTTAAGTACACGATGTAAAACAAATATGATATGTTTACATAGATGACCTTTAGCATAATCAGGACCTGTAAAATAGAGGAGAAAAACGAAGTTCTTTTATAATGATCAAAATAGTCGAAACTTACAAGTACACGATGGAACACGAGTAATAATAACTGTATAAACATTAGCTGTGTTTCCTAATACTTTATACTCTCGAGACACAGTTTCATTCGATGAGTTTGTTGCAGCAAGTAAATAAAGTCGTTGATGTAAAGCGCGTTCAATACGATCACGTACGGCAGACGTCATAGTTGCACGATATCGACGAAGTCGTTTTTCAGCTACAACCTTTTGACGTTTTGATGACGTTGGACTCAGTTCATTTGCTTCGTTGTCGGTTGTAGTTCGAGCATTTTTACGTTTTGATGACGATGGACTTAATTCGCTTGCTGGATTTGCTTCATTTTCTGTTGTGGTTTGAGCACTTGTGCGTTTTGATGACGATGGACTCAGTTGATTTGGTTCATTGTCGACAGGTACTGTTGTAGCCCGAGAATTTTTACGTTTAGCTGCTACACGTTGTCGAACACTCATCTTCGTTGTAATTTCCTTTCGATCGAAATTGATATAAAGATAGTTATGGCGCCAATAGAGAGATGCAAACGTGTTTTATATAATCGTATGCTTTCTCTCTTTCTCCGATATACGAAAGTCAGTATAGCCGGACGAGGTCAAAGAAAAGAGAGAACGAAAGCAGATGCTTTTACTTTTTCCATACAATCGTGAATGAACCGAGAAATCTAGAGAAAATCAAGTACACGTGTTTTTCTTTCTCGAGAAATAAATGATAGAAGAGTGTGTTGGACGTCTACAAGAGATAATAAAATATTGTCAGACAAAATGAGAAGGTCAATTTGTCAATAGTCTCTAGTGTTTATATTTTCTATCATTAAGGACTTTTTTTGATCGACTGACAGATTGTAAATCGGTATTGAAGAAAATAGCTAGCTCGGTGAACTCTTCAATTTATGAAAATCCAATCCAACCCGAAAAAAGTTCAAAGAGTTTCAATGAATTTAGACGAAATTGATTTAGAGGTATTTTCTATGAAATAAAAGTTAACTACAATGCTTCACTTCTTGATAATAAGATGATCTGATAGAGAATCAACTTTTACATTCTATACCCTATTGATTCTTTGATCAGTTGAAAGTATGTTTAAGTCGATTCGAAATAAGTCAATGAAGAAAAAGTTCTTAATTGAAAATTTGAATCACTATCTTTTCCCAATTCAGATTTATACATTTCCAATGAAAATAGTAGCACCTTTTTTGTACTTTTCAATCTAATGACAAACAATCTAGTAATTTTTAAATTATAAAGAATTACACTTCTATAATATTCCCAATAAAATAGTTTGTCTCATATTTATTTCATCTTCAACAGAGAATCCAAAGCATAAAAATGAATTCATTATATATTATTTTCAATTTGAAGTTCTTTTGTTACGCCAGGAGTAGAAATTATTGTTACGTATAGAGCAATTAAGGACAGGTTTATTTATTATAATAAATGTTTAGTGAAATATTTTTAAATATCAAAACCAATCTCAGACAAAGCTGAAACAAATATGTATCACGAAATTTTCAATTAATAATTGTAATATTTTTCATCATCGATTGGTATCATTGGGATTCGATCATTTATTCGAAATAGTATTAAACCACTGAACTATTTATTTTTTAACAGACCAAACGACTGAATAGAGAGATGGTGATTCGCGATTCACTGATGATATGTTCAAGCGATCGACTGTGTCTCCCTCTATTTTCGATTGTTAAATTATAAAAGAAATAGGTTATTTAATAAATTATTATTCTTAGAATCAATTGTGTTTTTCTCATTAAAAAACATTTCATCCGTTAAAAATTTATTTTATTTGCCGATTAAGTTGGCTATTGATATGGATATAAACATAGTGATGGTAGCATTCGACAGGTTTATTGACACATAAATACTAATGGGAGCGGTTTTTAATACTCTACCGTTAAGTGAAACTGAAAATCTATCCAATGTATCTCCCAATCGTGCAGATTGGTTAACTAGTCATGCAGACGCAACTGGACTTGCTGTTGTCGAAGTTGAACGTTTATGGAATCGTTTTAAACAGTTAACAGGTTCAAGGGATCAAACAAAAATTTATCCTGAGAGTAGTACAGTAGCACATGAATTATCTAATGATATTTTTGTGAAAAATGTAAGTGTTTACGAAATGTTTTTAAACTAACGATGTACATCAAACACTCAGTTTACTTTGTCATAGAATTTCCCTTCGGTCACTTTTTGCATATTTACAATCTGAGAGAACAGATATGAACGACAGTTACATTGCAATAATTTTGATTTTAGGATTTTTGGACTCTGAAATAACTTAATACAATTATCACTAAAATCAAAGTTTTCTATTAGTTAGCGAGTTTATGATATGATGAAACTCATTTAACCGTTAATTCGTGATAGTTTTATATAACTACTAATTTATATTTAACATAGTTTTTGAAACATATTCCTCGATCGAAATCAGACATAAACAGTATTCCATTTGGTAATTTTATAATCGTAATGCAATGGATTGATTCAGCTACTGTTCAAGATAAACTAGCAGCCATCTATCATTATCTTAATAATGGTGAACCAATTGATAGTTTCATGATAAGTAAACTTTTGAAACATGTTTATCGAGATGCCAAAGATGTATGTATTTTATTGAATTTGACAAAAATAAAAACAAAAGAAATATTTATTTCGTCAAGGATGAAATCAAAGCATTATCACTGCAATTTATGCAACAACTTGGAGGAAACGATCAAGGTAAATCGACAATAAATAATAGAAAATAAATGAGAAATGAATATTGTTTAGTTAAAATAAATATGTCACAGTTTATTATGGGTGTTCAACGAGCGATACCGCCCAATGAGCTCGAAGAGCTTCTTAAATTTGATATTATACCAGCACATTTACTTGATGAAGCGAGTGTACTTCCATCACTGCAGGGATCGTCATCCAATATACGTAGTCTAGATAATTTTGGTTCTAATGATCAAGTTAGCGATGAACAATTAAGACAAATAGCAAATCAAGTAGCAAATAGAGATTGGTCAAGATTGGCGGTTGCACTTGGTTTTCTTGAATACGATATTGAATCTTATAAAGTGACGAATAATAATGATTCAGCTGCAGCAGTGAGTGCATTATGATTGTCTTTTGGGAAAAGAAAATGAAGAATTAAAAATTTCTTTATGTTATAGATGTTGGAATTACTTCGTACATGGCGTGAACAATCAGGTTCAGCAGCTACTAAAAATCGACTCAAGCGTCATTTGGACGAAAGTGGATTTCCTGAACTTACTTATATATTGAATTAATATAGATATATTTATATTTATACATATGCTTTGTGGTTGTATTAATCCATACTAAAACAGCTTGATGTGATGTTCATGCAGTGAAAGCTTTAAAGATAAAATAACTTTTCGAAAACTGATTCCACCAAAGTAATATTATATTTTTTTTCATAAAAATTCTACAATCTTTTGTAATTGGATAAGTTGTTATGTGTTTGATCGCATGACTTCTGCTTACATGAGTTACACTGAAATAATCGTATATCTGAGGTTAATGTGCCCACTTTCACAGCATATATTCTATATTCTTGCTAGAGATGCAAAGGAGAATTTTTACTGTTATCCAATCGACATAGTATAAGAATACACAAACAAACTCGTAGCTAAATGAGTCATCGTTTTTCCTCGAGTAAAACTTTAAAGATAATATTTACCATTGAGTTTGCCTATGTCATGTAAACGTGACGACAGCAAAAATTTCAGTCAAAGAAAACAAATTCTATTGAATATGTTTTAGTAAAAAACCATGTTTAGCTATACAACTGTCTGATAATTGATTAGTCCGATTAGAAATTTAATAAAACATCCAGTCTTATGTAATATTGTTCATAGGTTAAAATAGAAAAAGTTTGTTTCCAAAAGATTTACTCGAATTCATCCAAAGATGATTGATCATTGATTACATTTGTATTCGTGAGGAAGTTATATTCGATAGATTTCTCAAGATCTATTGTTTTAGTTATTGATTTTACATAGTTTCGAACATAACTAAAAGATCGTCTAGAGAGTGTAACCAACGATAATTTTTCAATTAGAAAACTTCGAGAAAAGAAATGTTTTTTTTCATCTCATGTGAAATCCCTTTACGTTAAAATTTTTATGATCATAGTCAGCAGATACGTGTCATCGTTGATGCAATGTAATACTACTTGTTCATGAACTATGAACAAATGTAAAAAGTCAGATTTGCATGTTGATTCAAAACACTCGTCTTATTGATGTGTATCTTTTATTTTTATGCATCTAGAAATTAAAACTAAAAAGCTAATAAAAAAAAGAAAACATCATGTCTATGTCTATCTTTAATGAAAACCGTTCGTAAGACGTTGTTCAAGCGCTTTTTGTTCAAGGAAAAGTAATTGAGATGCGTAACGTTCAACTTGTTTGAGAATTGCTACAGGTTCCTCAGTAGATTCAACAATGAAATTATACGGTTCATCGACATCAGTTACGGGTTGAAAAATAGTTCGTTCAACAACTTGAGGAGTGCGAGATATTTCTGGTTCTTGTGTGAATTGAACAGGTGTAAACGTCTGGACTCGACTAGGTGTTACAGTAGAGCTTCCCAATGGCATAGAATTAGATTGCATCTGTGATGGAGTTGGTTGGCGCTTATCAGGTGTATATGAGAGTTGTCGGAGTTGACTCGATAATGGACGAGATAATATAGGATATGTTTCGGATATTGACTCAAGTAAATTATCTACTTCAATAAGAAAGCGCGTGTAAACACTCATCGGTAAAGTTACACTTTTAAAGCGAGCACGTAGTTCTTCATTAATTTGACTATAAAGACGGCTAGGTTTGTCTTGACACATTTGAAAGAACCTAAGCAAGGCTCGACCTGTCATTGATTCACATATTGGTATCATTATATGAAGATTTGAATCAAAGAAAAAATCAAGAATATCTTTTCTTTTCCAATTAGTTATTAGTACAGTACGATATGTTGAATCCCGTGTGTCGCGTCTGACAAATTCTTCAGGTAAAACTATCTGATCACTCGGGTTTGCTAAGGAAACTATGGACACAACGGGTACCATTCCAGGTGCAGTTGGCATTGAATTAGAATGCATGGAGACTTTTGGTACCCTATCTACTACCACAGATTTACTACCAGGTGTTGTTGGTCTTGAAATGATGTATTCGTATGTTTTTTGTTGTTGTCGATCGAAAAACAGAGGCGTCGAAGATGGATTAGTTTGTCCAATATTGGTCGGTGTCATTGCGTTGACTTTAACATCGGACAGGTTCTTCTTCGTATGTTGATTAATTAATTCAGCCATTAATGAAGAAGCGATCTTGAAATCCGATGTAGTGAAGTCAATAGGCGTATTTTTGCCAACGATCGAATTCAACCATCCATCAATTTTATTTCCTTTACGTACGATTATGGGAAGAATGGCTCGTTTAGAATTAAGTGCATATTCTGCTAAAGCTTGACATTGATTATGTTGTTTATATGAATTCGATATGCAGAGAATAGTCAATGCTGAATTAGTTACTGCTTCAGCTTGAGTTTCCATAGCTAAAATATATGATTAAATTTTCAATTCTATTTCCTGACTGTCCCTGTTAAGATTTCTTTATTAAAATTGTAACTCAGATCTGCTTTCTTATAAGAAAATCTTTTGACTTACTTTGTCCCTGAGGATTGTTGAGTTCACAAAATATTTTAAAATCTTCATCAGCAAGAAATTGTTGAATTTTATTAACCATATCTTTATCATCATGGCAATATGAAATCATTATATCGTATTTATATTTTTGATTATAAATATTTTTTATTTCTCCGTTTGATTGTTGTATTTTTTCTTGAAATTCAGATCCTATTCAATAGGAGAAGCAACAATAGTAAAATTTATCTCAAATATTCACTTTTCAACTATACTTTTGACCAGATTCCAAAGAAGTCCATCCGCCATTTTATGTATTCCATCATTGACTACTTCATTCGATGGAAGCACAGTGCTATTTCGACGACGACTAAAACTATTACAAAATCGAAGATTATTTTCTTGATTATCGCTAACAGTCGAAATCGGAATATTTTTCAATTCTGAAATAAAATCTGAATTTTGACGCATTTGTTGAGCTGCCTGTTGATCAAACGATAATGTCCAAATGCATTCAAGCAGAAATTGTTTTGCTAATCCATTAAATTTTTGACTACATTCAATCAAAAATCGTAGTGCTTTTTGTTTTAATATTTCCTTCTTAATTTTTTCATGTTTTACCAAACCTTCAAAAATAAAATACAACAGCATTCAACAAAATCATCAATGATCAAAAATATATCCTATTACCTTTTAATATTTCGACAAGTTGTATTTTATCTCTATCGATATTTTCTGCAGTTAGTTCATCTGGCGAATTCGTTTGTTTACTTGGTTCAACTGCTTTATGTAGTAAATTAAGAATTGTTACAGTCAATTGAGATAAATCCATGTGCGATCCATTGATATCATTTTCATCCATTGTATATGCAAGCATCATACAAGCATTTAGAAGCGTAGTTTCACAAGATGTTGATATTAATTTTTGAAAAATTTTGACTGGTTTACATTTTTTAATGTAATCAAGCGCATCGGATTCATAGATAAATAAAATAAACACTGCAAGAACAGCATCAATTAATATTGTTTCTTGAGCTTTTGGACTTTTGTTGATATTTTGACTTGGTGTAAGCTCTTTAGAAATACGTAAAAGATGATCAATCAATGACTGCAGTGATTGTTTATTTAGATGTGATGTAAAGCAACCTTCGGCAAAAACAAGAGTTGTAAGAAGATAACGAATTGAACGCATCATCGGACGTTGCCATTCTTTAATTGTTTTTGTATGTTTATCAAGTATTAAGACATAACGTGGTATCATTATGTGTAGGACTTCTTCAATAGTTTTTTCAACATTTGGGCCTATGAGAAATAGAAGAAAATTCAGTTTCTTGGTTTTCTAGTAGAACTAAGAAAATGCAACAGGAAATTTTTCACTTACCATTATAACTTTCAAGAAAATGAGGACACTTGATCAGATAGAATTTTTGTATTGTGGACAATAAAGTTGAATTCGGTTTTAAATCTCGAAATAATTGTAAATAAGTCGAGGATGTCAAACAATTAATAATTGGTTGAAGTAATGGAACAAATAAATCTCGATGTGAACTCCAAGGTAGACGTTTTTGTATACCAGTAAACATATTTAATAAACGTGTTATTTGTTTGATCAAGTGTTTATTATTATTAACTACTGATATTTTATTGATATGATATAAACTCTGTGATACTATTTTAACAAATGTTTCATCCGTAATCCAAGGTAAAATTCTTGATAGATCATTAGTTTTTTTCACTAAATTTTCCAGTAATATAATACAATTACGTAAAACAGATGTTTCTTCTAAGTTTAGTTGCGATGCTGAGCATACTTTTTGTAAAAGACTCTGTACAGCATTACGCACGAGAATAAAAAAATAATGCGAAGAAAGAGATACTAATGTGGGTACGGAATTTGAAATAAATGCATGAACTATTTCATTCAACGAATTTAGATAGGCGGTAGAGTCCGATGGTTTGAAATATAATTCACGAAATAGATCATCTAACATAGATGATAATTCCTGTATGCCAATTCGTTGCGTCTTGCGTCGTATTGTTAAACAATGAGCAGCAATAAGTAGCGAGGGTGCTGCTGAGTTAGTATCCATTTCTAATTGATTGACTAACATGTCTGGTGTGTGCCGATTTAAAATATGACGAAAGAAAATAAGAAAAGATTACTTCTCTTTCGATGTGTGATGGTCGTAGTGATTGTTATTCCCTTGATTTTATGTGACGGAATATATGATCAGTTAGCCTTGACATACAATAGTTGCGGTTGATTGAAGCAATCGAAATGAAATCATCAAACCTGATATTCTTGTGAAGCGTAACGATGAAAATATCTATATTTACTATTTTCTTACTTGTCTTGTTTCAAAAACTACTGTAGAAAATTTTTATCGTTTGATTTAAGATGGACGAAATGTAGATTGCTTTTATCTCACTATAATACCATTCAAGGTAAACAGAATCAATATATATATATTAACTCACAACCAAACAAATCACATTGATATTGACATATCACATATGTTTTCAAAGATACCATTAATACAAATGAATCAACGAAAAACGCAAGCTTTCACTTTTCATTCATGTGTAGAAATAGAAATCAATAACGCAAACCGTCCTTCGTTTTTCATTAATGTGTGTTTCTCTCTCTCTCTCGTTTTTTACTTTCCATTCAAGAACGTATCACTTGTCATTTTGTATGCATCGGTCATCTGCAAGTAAGGATATAGCGATTAAGTGTAGGTTTTTTATTCTTCTTCTTTTCATCTTTATAAATCTAAAAGGTCAACCATTTATTATACGATAAACATCAAATTAGAAAATAAAAAAGAAGAGAATTATCATGAAGGTTCAAGCATATGAAAACAATCAGACAAATTGCATATTAATAAGATAGTTAGTGATGATTACCTTGATTTATAAACAATTTCGTTTTTCATTGCCATTAGTATCTGGAGTTTATTTTAAGTAGAAACTTAGATAATTTACTGCACGTATAAATTGTATGATGAAAAGCCAACAACGAATTATCTGGTGGTGATCATGATCGCACGCAGCTCATATGAATTGATTAGTTCAAGGACACTAACCTGTTTATTTACGTCGTATATTTTCTTGTTAATCGATTCTAATATCCTTCGAAAAATTTCAATTAGAATAGAGCAATACGCTTAGAATTGGAATGATTAATTTGACTATCCGAATTTTATAAAGACTACCCTGTAAATTTACTCGTTACAATAAGGCATAATATCTATGAAATTTTCGGTACTCCGACGAAAAGTTACTGCTAACATTTACATTGGGCTTTTTAGTTATATGAAAAAAAAAACGTAAATTATGTTGTAATAATTATGTAAAAAAAGCCATTTTGCCATCGATTATGAGTTATCGAAATTATGACACAAAAATACGTAAAAACATGCAATCAATCATTATCTAAGCTATAATAGAAATAGTTTAGAACTCTGAATGTGTAATGAGACAACATAAACAAACTAGGAATATTCACGTGTATCAGAAAATAGTTTTCGCTTTCAGTCTGTTATTGAAGCCGTCATTATCAATCATTAAAAAATATAATGAGTTTTGAAAAACACTGATTTTATCATATTTCATTAAAACATTTTTGTATTCTACATCAACGTTTTTATATTAAAAACGAGTCATAATAAAATAGAAATCAGTGCATAGTCTAATAACTCCTAACAAGACAATATCCTTTCTAATTTCTACATAAAGCAAAGTTTTTCAGATACTTGAATTGGATAAATAAACTTGTTTATATTAATCTTAAGGATACAGCATAAAACGAGTTGCATGTGTTCTTGAAGTTTGTTTTATCACGGTCAAAATCTGTCCTAGAAAGCTAAAAAATATATTTAAATTTATTCAACGTAAATAGAAATCCACTGGTACCGACTGAATACGAAAGAGCTCAATATTTCGCAGATTGATCCGTGGAAAACTAGTCGTTGTTCTTTGTCTTCAAAGAAACTTGTCAGAAAGTTCACAATTCAATAAAATAAATTGTAAATCGCCTTTGTTATGCCTTGAGCAAAATGTACTGATAAAAACGACTTAATTTAGGAAGTTTCGCGTATACCAAAAGACTCTGTTTTAGTCTACAGTATTAAAGTTAAGTAGAACAACAACAAAAAAAATTGTTCCACAGTAGTAAATAAGGCAGAGAAAAAATTATTTAACACTAAAATAACAATCAATGTAGAAGTTCATAATACATTCTATCAAATACGCTTATGAATATACCTAAATCTTTGTTGTCTGCGGTGACTTTGTCATAATTAGAGTTCCTATTGCAGATTCAAACGAAAAAAAAGATAATGACACGCGTTTTTTTTCTGTAGCAAATCATATGATGCACCGAGCTTATGTCATACACTAAGTGCAGGATTACGATAATAACTATTGAAAGTAATTATAGTCTTTGAATACAAGATTTAAGTTAGCCGGATTGCTCTTTGTGGTTTGAACTCAATTCACAGCAGAAAATACACATGATCAAAATCGAACCGTATCGAATCACAATAAATCAACTGGTTACGAACAGAAAAGAATGATTACCAATATACGACGAAGTTAAATGCTATGCAATAAAATTTTCTATATTTCAACAGCAGGATACGAAAACACAAATGCGTCAGGTATCAAAAAGAGGTCGTTATCGATTCCATGAAACGTCGTTCTATGGAAATTCGTTCGTGATGCTTTTTCTAATTACATGGGTTTTAGCATATCTTATCTATTGCTAAATATCACATGATGCTGGTTCTTTATTTCAAATTGTCATTCATATAATGCGACTCTTGTGAAAATTAAACACACATGAGTATACGCGAGGTATAAGGAGTACATTTTTATGAATATATTTTATTTTTTACATTGTAAATACTTGAAATAACATTTTTTTTACATAAGTAACGTGAAGTTACTAGGTAAGCAATTAGCGTTGTTGTTCTTCTAATGCGAATTTTCGAGAAATGATTGTTTTAAATTCAAAATGATTTGTTACCGATTATACACTTTAAGGATGAATTCAGACGGTGAGTGATTCCTTTTTGAAATATAATTAACAATTATGCTTTTTTCCAGGCTGCTTTTCTCAATGAAACTAAAAAACAGTTTAACTTTTCAATCCTGATAATCTCTTGACTCAAAGCACGACAGTTTAGCAGATAAGTATACACAATTAAAAAGATCAGTGAATACCGAAGGTTACAGAATACAAAAAAAAAGAATCTCGTCTAAAAAAACACAATAGAAGACTAAAATAGATATAGGTTGTCGAGTTCAAAATAGCAAGCACGGTTGATTTCAGTATAGAGTTCAAGCTGTTAAGTCTAATGGTTGAATCTAATTCCACTTTATTTCATAGCTATGGATTGATACTTGTGAAACACATCATCCAACAATTGCCGTTGAATAATCTGGAAAATATTCTATGAAAATGAAAATCTCTTGTGACATCAAACGTCTTAATAGACACGAATATTGTATCGTTTTGTTGAACATACAATAATTCGAGAGCTCCTTGTTGTTTGTTTGTTTGTTTTTTGAAAATTTCAGTAGTTCTTAATGACAATGAAATCTATTTATCGCTAAAAACCTTCGGTTAGATATTTTTGATTTGTGACAGTATCATCGAAGGCTATTTCTAACGATAATACGAAGTCGAACAGTGTTTGATACTCGTCGATGCTATCTTTGTACTTGCGGTGAATATGGTTTTTGTTTGTTTCGAATCGTAATAATTTATTCTATAAACTCTGAAAATTTCCTTCAGCAAACTGCGTCGAGAAATCTTTTTGGGTTATCTAGTTACTCGTAATACTTTCGTTACTTGACTATGAAATTCTTTATAAAAAATTATATGGATCATCGGATGATAAATTATTCTAATTAAAGTTATCATCTGATGATAAATCATCATAATTTTATGTATTTTCTTTTAATGGCTTATTACGTGAAAGATAACCAAGACATGTTTTACCATACTACAATGTATCTATTTTGTAAAAAGTTAATTCATTCCAATGGATAATCTGAGGAAATGCAAATCTAAGAGAAAGCTGTCAACAGAAGGATTAATTTAAAAAGTTTTCTTTTTTCAATCGTAGAAACTTGCAGTAACATCGTGGGTTTCAATTTTATTTATGTTAATATTCGTGATTTTGACGAGAGAATTTCACTGAGAATGCATCAATAGATGATAAAAACAAAATGTAGATTATCTATGACGTGAATCTCATCGAATAAAGACGTGTGAGACAGTATATGAGTTTTCTCTTATTATATCTATTAATGATGTTTGTTGATTGCGTGAGTTGTGTGTTGTTTCCGTCCTGTTTAATTTTATTCTTTTGTTGAAAAAAAAAACGGAAATCCAGACATTTCATCTATATTTTTATGCTTATGAATTGATCAAAAACAATATTTTGTGTTGTTTCTGTTAAATCGAAACTTTACGTTGTTCTTTAAGGGAAACTACTTGAACTATTTTTCGACTGAATTATTATTAGTACCCTATAATCATTATTTCTTGACTGAGACATAAAAAAAAGATTTTCTTCGCAATAAAATTAAGATCAAAGAAATATTGAAATCATGTCAGACGTCAAATTATAAATAACTTGACCTTTTTGATTAATACGTTGTTTTACAGACTGACTGCGCATTGGCATCGAATGACGTCATTTTCAAATCAACTCGTTATAAGAAATATTTTATATGGATTGGAATCTAGTAAAATCTTATAATCAATTAATTTGCATATTTTTGTTTTTCAGATCTCAAACACAACATTAGTCAGTGTTACGAATTCATCGAGGCGACAAGTTTTCATCTATATTATTAGGTAAATTAATGATAGTAAAAAGAAAGAAGAAGAGAACAGAATTCTCGTTGGTTTCTTCTAGGTTCTTGTTTCATAGTAGATTTCTCGTTTCTATCTATACTAGAGTATTTTAAAAAATAATAAAAGGAACAGACAGTACGAGAAACAACTTACAACAGGATCAATGAATAGTTATACTTTCAATGCAACCCGAGGGCTTGTTAAAGCTATATTAACATTAACTCATCAAGAACGCCATTCATCTGATGCACAAACTTTATGTCACTATGTTTATTGTAAACTATCATTGGATAATCAAGACGATAATAATGGTACATGCCATGTTTCATCGGTAAAATTAACTTTACCTGATGAGTCTCGGCAAGAAAAAAATTTATTTTGTATCTTTACTGTAAAATATATAAATCTTTATATCTATCCATTGCTTATTTTCATGGGCATATTCGGAAACAGCTTATCATGCCTTATTATGTTTCTTAATGTTCGTCGTAATGGATATTCCGCAAATTTATATTTAGCTTTACTAGCATTGGTCGATTGTCTATTTCTATTAGGTAGTGCATTACCTGACTGGATATCACAGATAGACAAGCAACTTGATGTAAAACATCTATCCGATTTCTGTTGTCGATTAGTTTACTGGTTTGGAAATTTTATAACGCATTTATCAGTTGGTCTTGTTGTTAGTATTACAGTTGAACGTTTTATTGCCATACAATATCCATTGATTGCAAATAAAATAAATACTGTTAAACATACACATATTGTATTAATTGCATTAATAAGTTTCTTCTTTCTATTAGATAGCCGAGTTTTTATTATTGTTAAACATTTAAAAGAAAGTATACATATTATATCAACATGTCATAATGATACATTTATTACATATGAACGACGTGATATACTACGATGTAGTATAGCCGATGAAAATATTAATCATCGATGGGTATTTATTGATTTTGCTGTATATACTATTATACCTTTTTTGATTATTATTACACTTAATTCTCTCATTATACGTCGTTTAATTGATGCACAACGTTTTAGAAAACCTATGTATCGTGTAAATAATAAATCTTTAAAAAATGAACAAAATAGTTCATACCGAAATAAACATGACAATGAACAAATAGTAACTGAAAAACATCGATGGGTAAGATCTTGTCGGTCAGTTCCAGCAACAGAAACACCACAAATTATGTTTCATCCGAAAACAAGTAAGTTGAAAAACAAAATCTCAACAAAAATAAACAATTTTTATTTCATTCAATATAGATAAACGTCGTTTACGTTCCACCATAAAAGAATCGAGTATATCAATTGAGTCAACATTAGAAAATAGAGTTCGTTCTCATGAACAATATGAACATTCCCTAATGCGTCAAACAACAAGTACAAATAATATGCGTTTAACGATATTATTATTATTTATTTCGTGTTCATTTTTAATTTTAACTCTACCAGCTGTTGTAATCAATTTAACAATGTCCACTAAGTTGACAACAAGTTCATCAAATTTTAAAAATTATTTACGTTTAACTAACGAAAATTTGAATTCGGATATAATGTGCTATTATACGATTGCACGTTTATTAATGGTTTTCAATCATGCAATTAATTTTATACTTTATTTTGTTGTTGGCAAACGTTTTCGGCGCGATTTAAAAAAACTTTTTATTTGTTACGGGAAAAAATAATGAAGAAACTATTCAAAACTTCGAAATAAAAATAAGTTTCATATTGTTTTGTTCACTTCAATTGTGATATTGACTATGAAATGATCGTTGTTCTGTATTTTGTTGAATAAATGTTTGATATTTTTTTTTTCGTAATTATAATACGTATTCAAAAGACAACACATGAGCATATTCCGACATTGATGAAACTACACAATAGTCTCTTGATAGTTTAAAGCTTTTGCAGTACAATTAATCTTGTAAAAAAATAATTATCTTTTCCAATTTTTACTGCGATATGCCGTAGTTCAATCTGCTAAACGTCGGAAATACTCTTTCGACATCATTTATCATAGGCGCGAAGTGATTCTTCTTGTGTTCTGTCAAATGTACCACTTGACTTTCTTTTCGTTTACTACTCATTATCGGATTTAATTTTGTTTGTTTGTCTAGCTCTCAGGAAAAACTGGATACTAAATTTTCTACGAGCCACTAAGCAAATTACAAAGGTCTATACTCATTAGCGTGTATTTGAAACTCTTTGAAGTATTCTTTCAATTGGACCAACTTCAAAGGTTATCAGACTTTTATTCGGGAGACATCTGTAAACGCATGCATTGATTGGATAATTTATTTTTGCTTGTTATACAGTCGATGGGATGGATATTTTCGAAACTAAACTACTGCGAATAACAACCTTAGGATTGTAATAGAACTCATTGTAATTGGATGAATTTTTTTCTTTTCTTCAGATGGCATCTAAAATAAAAAAGACAAAAGAACCAGCGGTAAACGAACTCTATGTTATTCTTTATTTCCATTTTTGTTATTGTTTCAATAGGCATTACCGATTGTAACAGATCCAGAAATGGCTGAACGCTTTGAATGTGAAATTGCTTGGTGTATTGGACAACTTGAATGCATGATGAAATCATCGTCAACTAAAGATAAAGATCCTCGTAAGTTTTATTTATTTTGAGAACATTTTTCACAGTTCAGATGCTAAATAGTCGAGCTCTGTAGCCACTCAGAGAATATTCACAGTGATGTCGTATTTCAATAAATAAATAATATAAAACATCTATTATAGCTCGATCTGCTTTACAAGTATTGACAAATCCTAAAACACCTTTCATTCGTAAACGACAAATGATGCAACAATTATTTGGTAATTATCGTCAAAAGATGCAAGATGAAGAGATAGCTAGACAAAAACGTATGTGTATCCATATGAATAGTTTCTTCTTAAATACACGGATTTACTTTTTCTAAATAAGGTCATAATCAAGTACAAACAAAAATAAACAGTGAAATTCCATTAGCTTCACGTTTTGTTCGTCGTACTCAACATGATAATGCTTCCGTAACAACAAAAGACAATACATTTTCATTTAATTTTGATATTCCATCATCGGATATGGATAAAAATTAAAAATTTTGTTGCATGTTTATTCTAGATATATCTATGGAGCAAAGTCTTCTTATTAATATAGTCGATCAAATAGTATTACTTAATGAAAATTTCTCAGCGAATGGTAAGATTTACATTGTATATAAACATTTTCTATGAATTATGTTTTTAGATTTGAATGCAATACAAACATTTAAATCGACATTATCTTCATCGTCGAATTCATCAATGAACAATTTATTACAAGTATGTTCTTTTTTCTCCTTCTGTAGAACAGCAATCATATATTGAACGAGAGGAGTCTTGAATACTCAAGAGATGCTTGTATCAATTAGCGATCGAATTTTTTCTCTCTAGAACTTGCCTGTTTCAGTACAACGTCAAGTAAATGAATATTTAAATGAAATACTTGCACAACTTGTCATTTGCACAGGTCTATTGAATATTTTTTAGTAAAATAATTTTCCTATTTTATTTTATTTTATTTTATTTAGGTGTTAATGCAAAATCACAATTACCAACAACCATATCTCATACAATCAAACGAACATTAGCGAATCGAAAAGAAATAACAATGAAAAATACTCATTTTGTAAAACAAGTCAATGCAATCAATGAGCTGCATGCAAAATTAAATACACAAATTCAAAATGTTTGTATTGAACAATTGAAAACGGTGAAAGCCAATGATTTAAATACAAGTCAAATTGATACACTTCGAGAACAATATCAATTACTACTCAAACAAATTCAGTATGTATCAAACGATAATTCAATTTGACTTTTTTTTCGTTTTTTTCTTGTATAGATTACGTCGATGTGAATTCATTCGTGATATATATTCTATGGAAAATATTCAAGCATTACAAAATATGAAGTAAACTAAAATATTGGAATTCTTATTTTTTGTTAATCTCAAATTGAAATTTTTATTTTAGACTAGACTGTGAAGAGAAACAACAATATTATGATGAACAAATAAATCATTTTAAAGCAATTGAAAAAGCTATCAGTACTGAAGGTGTTCATTATCAACATTTAATAAAACGTTATTATGAATTATGTGACGAATTAGTCAATGCTCAAAATGCACTTAAACGACTTAAACAACAAAAAGAAAATAATTTCATTTGATCAATTTTCTGAACGATAGAATATCTATTTTTGTCAGATAAAAATAAATAAATAATTATTCTATTAAAACATATGGATTTTGTCAAAACCTGTAGCTATTTAATAATAAAAAGAATCTGAAGTGTTCCATATTAAATTAAACAGGAATGGACGTGATTGTAAAATATTTGAAAAAAAGGGAACTCATTTGCATTATGATAATTCTATTTTTTCATAACAATAATCCTTAAAGCTTCTATCGTTTGATTTCTCGGTATTATCCAGGATCAAATTTATAAATCATTCTAGATATTTTTAGATTGACTTCGGTAGCATCTGTTAAAATCTTTTCATCGTGATTTGTTGTTTTGGAGAACAACTGTCGTTCTTAATTCTTTTAAAACTCTATCAGGGAGACTGATATCTTGACATGATAGAAAATTTTTTGAATCTTCGATATGAATTGCATCAAGAGTGAATTTGACCATCGTTTTTATCTGAAATAATTAAAATTGATAATTTTTCCTTCAGTGAACTGAACCGCTAACTACGGCTAATTTGTATCATCTGTATTTTGATTGAAATACCCTTATCGAAATTCAATATTGCTCTCAGCCACATGCGAGTAGCAGTATGGGAATTTCTTTTTGCCTGATCAGATGGATGAAAATAAGATGACAATAACAGGCTCCCACTCACCCGAAACAGGAGAGGTGTCACATATCCGAAATATCGTGCATGCTGGAGATGCCAAGGGAGACACCGACATACAAAACTATAACTAACACATAATACAAATACTATGCATTTGTAAAATTATTTAAGTGCATTCTGCGTTTCACGCAGAGACGCCGCATCTTCGGCGAAGTACTGAGGAAAAACATTTTCCTGATTTGAAGGCTATGACCAATACCCATCCTTGGGTCACAAATACTAAATTTACAGCAAATGACAGGTAAAAAGGTAAAACAGGCGCGCTTCCAACTACGTGGAAAAGACAAATCATTCGATATTGGCGCGTCGCTGTGGTAGACAAGCATGAAAACACGCGCATCTACTTAAAACGCACGTTGAATGCATGCACACCCACACACTATATATAGTGTTTTGCATATGTGACTCTATCGACGGAAGACTACGATTTAGCGTGCCTACCTGTGTTTCGCCGCTCACCCTCTCTCCTCACTCCATCATATGATGGACTTCATTTCTGGTTCCTCCGTCACGGTGAGTTGTACAGCAATATCATATGCATAGTTTCTACAATCGATTGTGGCACACAGACGGGAATTAGTCAAAGCTTTCAAGTCAGGAGTCTCTAGGTGGGGTCTAGAACTAACAGTCAAAAAATATTTTTTCCTCGGGAGATGCGGCATCTCTTTGTGGAGAAGTGTGAGAGATGCGGCGTCTCTGCGGCAGATACAGATTGCGCCTGATGGATTCTTTATAGCTATGATATTTATATTTGCTGGGAGTATTGCTGGTGTGTATCTCGCATCTCCCGTGGCATCTCTGACATGCCAGATTTGTTGGGTATGTGACACTGCTGTATCTTCGTGAACAATATTCTGCAGATAGCGTGACAATGTTGTAACGATACGAGATGTTTTATCGTGATATCGAACTGTTTTATTCCAATCATTCTTCTCCTTTTATAGTTACACTTTCTTTCTCCGGGGCGCGTCACTCAACCGGAGAGGACGAGAGAGAACACGACAAAAAGGAAGAGAGAATACACATGACAATGAGGAGAAAGTCGTTGTGTACATTGATTAGGATAGAACGAGTGCTTATATCTGCACAGTCACATTTTCAGCAGAAATGGACCACCCCACATAAAGTCATACGTTTTAAGTAGAAATGGAAGAGAAAGAATATATATACACACATATATAGATAGATAAATGTCATAGGTCCACAAGAAATTGAAGTTGTCCTGATCTAACTTTACTTTATAAATATATGCGATATTTATCAGTTTGATCCGTTCAGATCCCTTTAGTCATTTTAGCCTCTTGAATCCCTCTTTAGATCTAAAGTGATCAAAAGGGACTAAAAGAACTAAAGGTAGTAGAAGGACTAAAGGGAGCAAAATGACTAATGGGGGTAATGGGAGTAATAGGGCTAAAGGGATTAAAAGGACCCAAAGGATAATGAGGGTTTATATTTGTAAAGAAAAGTTAGACCAGGATAACTTTAATTTCTTATGGACCCATCATAGAAAAAGCTTTTCAGTAAAGCCCCGCTCGGGCTAAAATGTGGAACTCGCATATTACAGATCACTTAGAAACTGACCACATAGAGAGTTTTATTTATTTTTAATAGAATGAGCTTCATAATTGTTTTAGGAACTCAATGGAGAAAAAAATAAAAATACCTGAATAAGTGAAAACGCAGAATTTCGTTCATTTAAATTCCTTCTAAATACTTCTGAAATTTTCCAACTAGAAAAACTCCTACAGATAAGTTATAGTTCGATAAAGTTTTATTTTTTGAAGCTGTTGGTATACAAGAATACTGATAAGAAATATGAAATATGTCTTTTTTAATCTTGAAGTAAAATAAATATGAAATCAATTTTACACTTAAACATTGTTTTACTATTAGTAAATAGAATATATTACTTCCGTAAATTTTTTTGTTCCCTCGCTTGTAATATGATAAAATTTAAAAAGCATTTTCACTAAACGAATTCTTATTCTCGTTTATATTTTATTTCAATTAATATCTCTCTTATAATGATTGAATTATATCTTTATTTTTATACAGAAACACAGAAAATCATCTTTGAAAAAAAGCTTAATTTCGCAAGATATAAAAATATATGCTGAAGCTATGTTTGGTTTTGGAAGATTATTTTTAAAAATTCATCAGTTAGTTTGAAAATATGTTCAAGATTCTTCTTCTGATGATGACTAACAATTTACTAATGTGATTATAGTTAATTTAGCTAAATCTTTCTGAAACAATTAAATGCTATTTCGATTTCAAGTTGATTGGAATGATTATAATAGTAACGATAGTTTTTGTTTGCTGCTGAATTATAAATCCTAATATATAGCTTTTCTACGATTTACTTAGGGCATACCAAAAGTAAAGTTTTTTGAGGATAAAACTGTTCAAGATAGAGCTAACCAAGTTTTTATTTCATCAAATGTTCGAAGTAGTCCCCATGGTTATACACACATAATTTCATCCGTTCAATCCATTTATCAAAAGT